GACGAGGGGGAACCAAAACAACAGATTCCAGTCTCTCAAGAAGACCCCAGCGCCACCCTGAGTCATTGTCTGTCCCACACAAGAGCACAAGAGCTACATTTCTTAAATCAACTGGCACTCAGAGAACACAGCATGTCATAAACTGTATAAGGCTGAATTAAACATCACCAGGAGAATGAGGCCTTATGTTTGAAAACAAAAGGTACCATGTCTATGGCTAGTGTTTAAGAATTAATGATCCCGACTAATGAAAAATACTCATGTAAAGCAAGCCTTTGAGAGAAATAGTAATGAAATCAACCGCTATACATGCTAAAGAACAGGAACAGCTGTGTATGAGCTGATGTTTGTCTTTATTTTAATTCAAATGTATTAATTGCTTGACAAAATATCATTTGATTCAAAATATTTTAAATCTTTAGCCTTCCAATCGAATGTTAGGGGCTGTCCTCTCTGTTTGCAAAATGTCACTCCTAAAGGTTTTTTAAATGAGAAAATGTTTATTTTTACTGCTGGTAGACATGTGCTGTTGTGTCTCTCCACATGGCGTGAACCTCTTACAACCGCAAAGGAAGGCTTAACAACGGAAGATAACGTTCGTGTATGACATGTCAACCTTTTAAACTTTAAAGTTGTAGCATATGGTTATGTTTAGATACTGTATGTACATGTATATATGGAAAACATACTGTTGCTTATTTTTGCTCAAGGCTTAACACTGTTATCTGTAAGAAACAGTTACAACATGCACTCATAATGCTCTAATCTCAAATAAGACCTAACAGTTGTATTGAAGTCATCCATATATATATATATTCATGTGCCCTTCATCAGCATGTAAGTCTTTCACTATGTTGGGAATGTTGTGGTGTGATAAACTTGTCCTAAAGATAAAATGAACTTCCTTTACTTAGGTCTCAGCTATGTGATAAATGTCTGCGTCACAGTTCCAGGAGGAAGTATTCTTATAATAATTTACTGTGGGCAATGACAGCTGCCTTGCCTGCAAAATGATAGAAGAATCTTGAAATATCCTTCCTGCGCTCTGAATAGCTACATTAAACCCATGGCAGCTGTATTTGACCTGGAAACACTGGTATCCAAGGCAGGACCTTGCTACCATCTAGGCAAACAAGTTAAAGTTCACAACTTTCTGACTAAGCTTCATGAGAGGGAGCTGTTGTGAAATTCCTCTAAAGCTGCTGGTAAAAAATTGAATAGTTCTTTTAACGTGTCTGTTGGCCAGTGCCAGAGGACAGTTTTACAGGCATTACTTAATGCAGATTTTCCAGACAGAATCAACACTGTCGTAATAGTGATACACATTTTCCTTGGTTTTACTATGTATTCAATTGAATGGTTGTGTTTTCTGAAATCTGTTGAGAAAAATGGAAACACTATTGCAGCAAAGTCTATGGGCAGTGAAAGTATTCACTATTTCACATTCCTGCAATACTTAGATATTGTAAGTTGTTTCTGTCATTTTTTTAATGATGTGTGAGTTACACTGGTTACTTGAGAAGTGGAGAGTAAATGAAAGACTCTTTATAAAATATTTAGAGTGATGCAGACAGAACATACCGTAGCAACTAATTGGTACCCAGACAGAAAAAAAAATGTATTTGTGAAAGCTCAGAAACAGGTTGGCAGTTGTAAACTACTAGTTGCCGTTTGTAATATTCTGAAGTTAGTTTCTGTCCACTTGTTCCAGTTGGAGCATCACTATTTTAAAAAATGTAATAACTTATATGAACACAATTTATGTATATATGATTATATACATATATACAGTAAATGCTATAATTTGTTGTATATGTTATGTTATGTATATATATATCAGATAAAATGAATGTCAGGTCTTTTATTCTCACTTTTTTAAAACAAAGTGAAAATACAAGACCTTGCATTCATTTTATTTGATACAGTATATATATATACAGTATGTAGCATAATGGTTGGTATTATCAGGTTTGAAATACTAGGCTAACAAGAAATGTCATTCATGTATTGAATTTATTATTTGGCTGTTTCATAATTTAATTCCATGAGAAGCAAATACAATCAGAATGAAAAGCACGGCACAGCAGGATCTGTTATGTTGCCATCAAGGTCTATCGAAGGTGCTCTTGTGTTTTATATACAGGATATAATGCACTCCTGTGACTGGCCTGGACACTGTGACAGTCAACGTAGCATCCATGTGACATTTGCAAACACCCTGTGGCTGACACACGCCGTGATTTTTTGACGTTGTCAGCGCCTGGCCCTGGCTCCTTGCCCTTCATTGACAGTGTCTTTTGCAATTGACTGTCAAGTCCTAGTCTCTGAGTTGCAAATTCTGTTTGTTTGCGCAAACAGTCGGTTCTGTTGATCCAATACACAACTTGCTGATCCACAGACTATTTCTTCCAGTATTTTCTTGTGCTGTTGCCTTCTACCTTCTTGTGTGTGGCCTGTCGTGATTGGAGATTGTTTTTTTACTTTCTCTGGACATGCACTGTATGCTAATTGTTGAAGCAAGACCTCTTTTTATGTATATTATCATTCACAGATATGCTGCCATCAATAATGCTGACAGCAATCAGTCAATCTTTGTTACTCTCAGAAATCTAATTGTGTTTGTGATGAGAAAAAAAAACGTTTTTTGAGAGAAATATATAAATGTTTTACACTAATTACTTGTCAGTTTGTGCAGTTTGTGTGAGTCATACGATCTGATTATATCCATTGCTGCTGTTGCTGGTTGAAAAAACTGACAATTTACACAAGATTTATCTTTTTTATATTCCTGCTGACTTACAGTCATACAGTTTTACAGCCATGCAGATGTTCCCCTAGTTTAGTTCTAATTATTGTTTCCAAAGCCTTACATGCCAGAAGAAGATTTATTGGTCAATAATTATTTGATCTCTCTTGTTCCTCTAAGTTACAATCGTTATAACACCACCAGGCCATGGAGAATTGTTTATCTTCAGTGCCACTAGTACAAGTAAACACTTGAGTGGAATCCTCTTTTACAGTAAAAGGGGTTAAAATGAATGTAAGGATATTTAGTTAAAAGTGTTGATTTTAAGCCAAGAATTGCACAATAGTAAGGTCTTATTTAAAATGTGCATAGCATTTTGCTCACCACATTACAAAAACTGCAATGCTGTTTTGGAATAAGTCCAGGGAAGATCAACCAGGTACATTACTATTACTATTATATTACTAGACTATATACATATACAGTAAAAATACTGTCCTAACTCAAAGGAATTTCCTGGACTGTGAGGGGACCTGGTTCAAGTATTCAGGTCTCAAAGGCACTGTCAAAGTCAACCCTGAGGAGTCAGTACTGATACACAGGGAAACAGAACACAAGTGGAAGCTGCAGGAAAGTGTACAGTATGTAGAACTGGAAATAGGCGGCTCTTCTTAATACAACATTTTGTGAGAGTCTGGTACAAGCTACCCCCTATTCTGTAGACCCAAGATACACCAGACAGATAGACGAAATCCCTGGATCAATTATTAGCTACCAAAAACCAAACCATCGTAATGGGCTGAATGGCTTTTTCTCCTTTACAAACGTTTTATGTTTTTATGTTCTTAAAAATATATAGAAATATGTACTACAATAACAGCTGTGACAACAGCACTGAAGTTAAAAAGGCTCCATGGACTTTCCCCCCAAACATTAAAGAACTGCTGTCTTAAACCCTATAGAAATAAAAAATAAATAAGTTTAAACCCGTTTATGTCAAGGTCTGTCTGCACCCAGACTATAAATAAAAACACACCTGACACTACTTTGGTCTAGCTATAAAACATGAAGAGGTAACATACAGGAAAGCAGAAACCACATGTATTTACAAAATGGACATGGAGTTCAGGTTTTAACATTTGGAATGAAAAATAATATCAGGGGTTTATTTTAAATTCTGAGGGAAAAGGTGCAAGACTGTGGGAAATACATACCTTGCACGCCATGCAACACCTGCCTTGAAAAAGAAAAACAGTTAAGTCACATTTTCGTGGTTCTTCTATGCGTTTAAATAACGTTTTCTTTGGCACATTATGAAACACATCGAGTATGTTTGACCAGCACCAATCTTCATATTCAAAGCATTCTACAGGAAACCAATTAACACTGGAACCACTTTTGCGACCACTTGCCAAAGTGGTCCGAGAAACTGACATTGCTATTAAATCTCCTCAATGTGGTAGTCTGAAAACTGTGGGGCAGAGAAAGAAATATAATTGCTGTTTAGATTAATGGCTTCCTCCGTTTTTAAGAATGGGGTAAAATGGCAGAATAAATGAAGGGAAATGAAGTTTCCTTTTCGCCACACCTATTTATTCAGCTGTGCCAATGAGGTCTGTTTCTGCTTTTTACCTGGCCTAGTTAAAATACACAGTAAAAAGAAAAATACAGCATTCATTCTGATGGGAATATTAGTCGTGATGGTCACCTGTGCTTAAGTCGTTGTAACTGCCACGATAATGTAAATCAGAGGGAAAGAGCCACTGTTTCGGAGTAAACAAGTACTTTTACACTATAACACGTACCAATACTCTTTTAATAGCAAAAAAGATCCTCTGACCAGATTGTGCAGGTCCATAGTTTAAATATTTTGTGTCTGTGATTTAATTCATAAACCCACAAAGTGTTAATTAATCATTACTTATTTTTTTTGAATAATGAAGTCTGAAAAACTCTGATCAAAGTTGCAGACACTAAAAACAATGAATCTTAGGATATTATTAAATTGCACTGTTATATCAGTTTGACATTCTTTCAAGCAGGCCTGAGCATTGTGAACTGGAGCTGTGATCTCATCTAAGCTTTCCTTCGCTATGCAGGACTATTTCAGCACTGGTTTCTGATGAATAGGCCTGTCCTGGGAGCTTACCCGGGAGTTAAGCAATCCTTTTCATTTTTTTCTTGTTGCCAAAGGTTCCCATTTCACTGAATATGCTCCAAAACATCGCATAATGCAAAAAAATGCCTTTTAAGGGAATTTTAATCAGTCGGTACAGTACAGTATATTGCATAGAAAGAAAATTCGACAAACATATGTAATGAAATGGATAGGCACGGCTTTTAATACCTTTTTTGTTGTACAGTATTTCCAAGAGATATTTCTACCACATTTTATAGTGACAGACCACTGTTCCATTTTTATGAAACACTACACTGTCTGTCAAGCAAATGAGAAAGGATAGTTCTGTGAATAACCAAAGAGCCTGACCCTTTCTTGCCTTCTTCACACTCCTGAAAGAGCATCGATTTTAATGTAGAAATTGTAATTATACTATGCTGTATATGTTCAACAAGGCTGACAGTTTTTCCTGAATCTGTTTTTTTTTCACGTTACTAAACAGAGTTGTCTACCAGTTTTCTACCCATCTGAAATCAGGCTTTAGATGAATGCTTGGCTCCATCCACAGAGCTCATAGATGTTTTAACATACTGATTTTTTGAAAAACGTGAAACCTGATTGTGATTTCTTTTAAGTCAAAGTGGAATAAAATTACTATCTATAAGCCACTGAGGAACAAGTCATTCCACAGTGAAAGCATTTCCGTCTCTTCACCTCTACTCTTTCTCACATTCTCTGTCTTTTATTCGCATTACCCTGTTCACATATTTGTGCTCTCTCATGCTGAGGAAGACTACACTGACAAATTATATTTTTGCTTCATTTGTGGCATGGGACTAACGCTGCCTTTTCCTATAACTCAGATCCCCATTTGTACCTCTTGTACAAATTAAAGGCCACGGTAGTTTTGAAAGTTTTTCAACAGTCGGTTATCTGGCTAGAGTGTATTGTGGAGCTTCGGCCCCAAGCCCAGTTCGGTGGAGACGGCGGCGACACAGACTAGCCAGAAGGCAGGTTGGCAGCTTCACAAAGGCAGGGGGTTTATTGCCCTTTTAGTTACAGAAGAAGGTGCTATTCACCAGGGAGAGATAAGGGGGGAGAGTGAGACCGCAGGTGGAGAGAAAGGGGGAGCACAGTTTCCCAGAGCCTGCCATGCAGTACAAAGAGGGTGAGCAGGGGGCCCCCCTTTTTATAGGGTGTGGAAGGGGTGGAAGAGCTGCTACACTGCAAGGTCAGGGGGCAACAGCACAGTTCATAACTCCACCGGCGGGAGCAGAACGCTCCAGTATTTTTCAAGTAATGTGTCGTAACGGTGATACACATCTGCACTCTTTCTCACGATCCTGCTGTATGTTCTCGATCCTGGTGAAAGATCTTTGGACCGTAATCATGTTTTTTATTCTAATTGCGGTCCTGTCCATTCGTTCTTTTACCTGCAACAGAGCAAAACGGTACTTAATTTGCTAAGATGATGTTTGCTGCAGGGAACGTTGAGTCCCAAATGAGGGATGGTGATGTGCTGCCCGCCTTCAGGCTGGTGATGTGGATCTGGCTGTGGAAGACAGTGTCTCTGTCTGAAAGAGCAATAACTATTAGTAGAAGACAATCTAAGACGTTAGATTGCTGGATTTTTCTATGATTATTTGTTCTCATCAAAGTTGTCATTCCCTCTGGAAAGGAGCTCAAGTTGCATAGGATTTCTTATTTAATTTTTTATATAAAGATTAAACTTATTTCTCTTTTCACCCTCTCCCTCTTGACAGTATTACATATCATCTGTCACGATCGCTACTCCTCCTCTTGAGGGCGCTCCTGCCCTTCCTTGTTCTACCTCATTCCCCACACCTGTCCCTTATTCCAGCCCCTCTTTAATTCCACCTTAAGGCGTAGTCGTTACTCGAGGTTCCTCATTGAATCCTGTTTCGTGAGAGCCCGGGTCCTGCAGCATCTGGCTCTGTTATGATTTTAACTTTCTGTTCCTGATTCCCCCCACCGGTTCCGACCCGGTTCCTGTTCCTTATTCCCCTGGATGGATCGCCTGGCCATGGACTTTTGCCTCTGTTTTTGATTACCCGTCTGGATTTTCTATATGGATTGACTCACTTCCCCTGGACACCTGCACTCCTTGGACACGCCCCCTGTCTCCATGCCCTCTCCTGCATGACTTTTTCCCCAGTGTTTCCTCACAAATCCGGGTTGTGTCGTCTGCATATGGCCCGGAAAGAACTGTTCGTGACATCATCCCTGGAATATATAAAGAATATTGATCAGAATTCTGGTTATTATTGAATCAGGGTCGGCACAGTGGCATATTGGCACATTGGCACATTGGCACAGTGGCACAATGGCACAGTGGTACATTGGCACAGTGGTACAGTGGCACTGGTTAGCATTGCTGCCTTGCAGCACTGAGGCCCTTAGTCCAGACCTCTTATCTGTGTTGAGCTTTTGTGTTCTTCCCAAGTTTGTGTGTGTGTGCGCCATGTGGTAGACTGGTATCCTGTTCAGGGTGTGTGTGTATGTGCCCTGTAGTAGACTGGTATCCTGTCCAGGGTGTGTGTGTGTGTGTGTGTGTGTGTGTGTGTGTGTGTGTGTGTGTGTGTGTGTGTGTGTCCTGTGGTAGACTGGTATCCTGTCCAGGGTGTACGCTGTCTTGTGCCTGTTGTTTGCTGGGATAGGTCCGGCTTAAAAATGGATGTCTGGAGAATTTAATCATGATCTCATTTTGTAAGTTCAGAATCATATAACTGCTGTTTTTTCTGCTAGTCTTCATTCAGATGTCCTTATATTAAAAGACATGCACTTTTGTAACTGTTCTGTTTCATTCAAGGTGTAAAAGAACAATGAAAACATACACCAGACAGCAGAAGGGCAGTCCACCTCAGACTAGTTTAAGGAATACACATAAGAATGATTTTGTCCGATTGCATGCCTCTTCATCTTACAGTTGCAAAATATGGAAAGGGTCTTTCATGACTTTGCAGGTTTATAATTATAATTATAACATACTTTGTAAATGTATGATTTTTTAGGAATCAAAATATTAAAATTGTAAAATGGACCTGTCTAGCTACATTTGAATGTACAGTAAGCTACAAAAATCACAGTTTGGAATCGTGAGCAAATCCTTCTGAGGACTGCTTGCCTACATTCACTTTGCCCACATCATTCCATTTTCTAGAAGGTATGGCTCTGTATTTTTTAAAGCCAGGTATTATTTGTCCCCTAGGAGCGCTGGCCTGTTACTGTGGAGACTGTGTTTTCTGTGGGGCAGAGTTGTGAGGGCATTCCTATCCTGCTTACCTTGGCAACTGTGAATCAGTAAATGCTCTTCCCATGAATGAAAGCTTTTCAGAGCCATTAGCAGTTACCCACAGGTATCAACATGTGTTTTCTGAAAAGTCCAAGGAATGTGAACTCCAATGATAAAATCAAACACGAGTAATAAAGGCTTATTATGTAACAGCTGTGGATACAAAAAAAAAAACTTGTTTAAAAGTATGAATTGCTTTGCTTTTGTGGGACTGGAGTTAACCACTCACCCTAGGTGCGTAGCCTGTAGAATGTTTGGCATTTGGTCCTTTTCACTCCAAATATAAGCAAAATAGGAACTAGCTTCTAAAACATTTATAAACATACATTTTAAGAATGAAAATATTGAATTTGTGTTGAAAACCATTAGAATATGGGAAAACATGGCACTCCTAGCCAGAATTCTGTAAACAGGTCATACTTTGCAAAAACAAAGTTGCATCTTGAGTTGAATTATCCCTTTAATTAAGTTAGACAATGAATGCTTAATGAGAATGGTGCCTCCCAGCTATACCTACAGAGATGAACAAGAATAAACAATAATCAATTTCAACAGTTTATTCTGCAAATTGAATGGTTCCTGGTCAAATATGTTAGACACTTTCTAATAACTCCATTGAAAGTTTTCAAAAGTGGAGAAAAAATGATTGAAAACAATGATGGCCTAAGAGAAAATGAATATACTGTAAGGCAAGCAAAATATTTTTCATATTCCAACCCCCCTCTATACATTTACATACTTACGACTTACTTCAGGCATGGAGACTTCTTACAGTAGCTCTGTGCTACTTTCAGTCTTACGTACAGTATGTGTCATTTTTTTCAATTGAATTTAAACCCTGCTGCAAAATGACAGACTTTAACATGCGGTCTGTGTTCAATGCTCCTTACTGACAGTCCTTTTGGAATGGATCAGATAACAGGTTGCAAATGAGAGGAGGCACCTTTGCCCATCTAGAGTTTCACAGCTTCTTCACTGCTTTGGCACTGTCGTCGGATTGACTCCAAGTCCAGGTTTCTTCCATTGCTATTTAACCATTGTAACAAAGTGACTTTCCAACCTGTACTCCATCTAACATCAAAGACATGACTTTCGTGGTGTTGCTTGCCGAGATGTACAGTACCTACGTTAAATGCTTGATGTTTGTCACATGAATGGGTAAAATGTCAATAGGATGAGATTTTATTTGTCCAGTTCAACTGAGTGATTCCCACAAAGTGTCATGATGTTCTGTGAATGGTGAGGTGATACTGGTGTTGGTCTGAGGGAGCTGAACGGAAGAAGTGTTAGCAACAGCAAGAGAGAAGAGAGAAGAAGCGGACAGCAGAGTTGGCAGAAAAGGGATTTTCAGGACATTTTTCTTCTCCACCATCCGTCACAGTGCTTACATCAGCCTGACACCAAAAAAAAGCGTCATTTTTCACCAATAGACTATGTTAGTAGGATGTATTTTATCAATCAGTTGCATACTTTATATACATCTATTGCTAACACTGTGTCAAACCATTTCCAATGTTTCTAAAACAGAACGTTTTTTTTTTAAGAAATGTATGTGTTATACTGTACAGTACATACATTATACTATAGGGACACTATACTGTAGTGGGCGCCGTCTTTAGCATGAGACGTTAAACCGAGGTCCTGACTCTCAGTGTACATTAAAGATCCCCGGGCACTTCTCAATAAGAGTGTTATCTCGGTGTCCGGGCCAAATTTTCCCCCTCGGCCTTTACCTCCTTTACCTCCAAATTGTCCCCCATGTATGATTGGCTTGCACTTGCCCTGCGATGGACTGGTGTCCCATCCAGGGTGTACCCTGCCTTGTGCTCGTTGTTTGCCGGGTAGGCTCCGGCTTCCTGCGACACCGTGTGGTATAAACCGGTTTGGCACATGACATGACATGACATGACATGTATTATAATCTATCACCTGGACTCACTCTTTGAAGTGTACAGTAGAAACATTCTGCAAGGAAGGTTTGCAACATTAAAATGAACTTAACAGTATGTCTGACTGTTAATTTAAAACAGTGACTTCCTTAACCCTGTATTTGTACTGAGATTTAGAAGAATCAAAATGAATTTTTAGCACTTCAGAGGAGGCTGTTAATATACATTTCAAATACACATATTTAGGTTAGACCCTGATGAATGTGATAGAGTATTTGGTGTCACTTGGCTGGCTGAGGGAATGGCAGCCTAGCTGTGACGATGAGGAGACGGAGGGGGAGAATGCGACGGAGATGCAGGAAGGGAAGTCCAGGGTACGAGACTTAAATACATAAGCAAACGGAAGAGCGCAAGATTAGGATCTCACCTCAGCTCTGTGAATGTAAAGTAACATTACTTTTGCCTTTATACCTACCATGTGTCATGCTGAAAAGCTAAATATTTATGAATCGGTTGATCTGTTTAACACTGTTTTATTATTTTAAAATATTTTTCTTTTTATAAAGTTACAGTGCAAAGGGATCATTGCAAAACTCAGTACTGAACTGTTTTAAGAACACTTCCTTCAATTCGTACTTTTCAACTCAAACCTACAAATAAATACATTTCCTTTTTTGTACATAGCTGGAAAAAGACATTAAAACGCAGTGTTTACAAAAGATAATCATCTCTAAGACATGAACTCTGTACAGTGGCTTGGAATTCACAACATATTCATACTTTGCATGGAGAATAAATCACCAAAAGATAAACTGTGCTCCCAAATGGGAAAAATAATCTTGCTTTGAAGCTTTAAAATTACACGGCATTTAACTGTCGCCCTCACAATCAGCATCTCAAAACAATTACTTCACTCACAGCTTCAAGGTTTCACGGCGTTACAGTGATTAGAATGAGAAAATAAAATATTTCTTTTATGCATGCGTTACATGTAGCTTCAACCGATAGCAGGTTTATATAATGTAGTATTCAAGATGTTCCTTCGATTTATAAATTTAAGGGTGCATATCAACTCGCTAAGATTAAATATTGAAACTGTAGGGTAAAATTGGGACTATGATGTTCAAAATATTAGTAAAGATTAGTGTAGTTTAACAGTAGAGGATATAGAATCATCACAACACAAGCAGATACCTGTATTTTGAAACAAGGTACCCCAGTTTCAGTGGCACTGTGGTTAGCAGTGCTGCCTCAGAGTGTCGGGCCCCTGGGTTCGATTCTGGACCTGGCGTGCTGTCTGTGTGAAGTTCGTATGTTCTCCCTGTGTCCTCATGAGTCTCCACCAGGTGCTATCCCACAGTCCAGAAACATCATACGGGTAGGTTTATTGGCTTCTGTAAAATTGCCCCTGGTGTGAGTGTGTGCCCTGTGATGGATGGGTGACCTGGCCAGGGTGTACAGAACTGAGAGGGAGAGTAGGACCAATTCCAAGTTTCCAACAGGTGAAGGACCTGCTCTCTATAGACAGTTTGGAGTAACTCCATGACCTATTGTTGAGTAAGAGCCGTAAGTGACCAAGTCGATACTGTAGAAACACACAGAATTGACTTCAACATCATGGTTATTAAACTACTTTTTAATAACTGATCCATGTGGCAAGAAACAATGAAGGTAAACGTGTCTTGCAGACAGCAAGACACAAGTCAAAAGTCAAGAGAGGCAGGTTTACCCCAAACGTTTCTTATAACTGGGTATCTTTTTCTGAAACCTCCACTTCAGATGGCTATGGTATTTTTTTAAACTGACTGTTATTAGTTTTTCTTATAGATGGTATTCCACCAATACAAATGTACCCTTTATTTTTACTGTGGATCCTATCTATGCATTGGCTAAAAGTTTAAAACGTTTTTTAAACAATGCCTTCAGAAAAAGTACGTTAAAAAAAACGTGGCAATGTTCCTTCTCAAATGTTACTTACAGATGACCTTTTCAGCTCTGTTAGCCTGCATTCTTACAGGACACTGCAAACATTTTTTTTTAAA